CTGCGACTCCAGGGCATCCGCATACTCAATTACATCAACGATTGGTTAATACTAGCTCAATCGGAGCAGACGGCGGCTCGGCATCGAGATGTCATCCTTGCCGATATGAGAGAACTGGGGTTAAGACTAAATGCCAAGAAGAGTGTTCTATCTCCGCTACAGAGAACCACTTATTTAGGCGTGGTGTGGGACTCAACCTCGATGCAGGCACGTCTGTCTCCTGCTCGAATCGAGTCAATCCTCACGACAGTCACGAGAGTAAGAGAAGGCCAGTCACTCACTGTCAAACATTTTCAAAGGCTGTTGGGCCTGATGGCAGCGGCGTCCAACGTGATACCTTTTGGCCTGCTGTACATGAGACCCTTGCAGTGGTGGCTTAGAACCAAGGGATTTTCCCCGAGGGGGAATCCGCTTCGCGTGATCAAGGTCACGCGGCGATGCTTACATGCCTTAGACATGTGGAAGAAACGTTGGTTCTTGGTTCAAGGCCCGATGTTAGGGGCTCCTTGTCGTCGCGTAATGCTAACAACGGATGCCTCTCTCACGGGCTGGGGAGCGGTCATACGTAACCTAGAGACGTTCCCTCTCTTCTCAACCCATTACCATTAAATTATTCATTTTCCATATGACTTAAAAGTCTAGTTTTAAAATTTTCAATTCTGATTTTTACCATGTTTTCCCCATGCCGTTTCTGCATCTACTCACTGGAGGTCAATTTGCAAACCCGGGCATTAAGGAAGTGGAATAATGCAAAATGTATTTTTATTTATTTATTTTTTTCCTGTTTGTGCGAGTTAGAAAAACTTTGTTTTGAAATATGGTACCATTCCTCTGATCATGTACCCACATGAAATGTTTTTATTAAATGAACAATGTTTTGTTAACATGCAAACAAATTGAGTTCTGTTGTCTGACAAAAGTTTCAGAGGTCTTCAGTGCATGCAGACAAGTACTTTATATTCTAAAGTACTGCAGGGAAATGTAAATTATGTGACTAAAAGTTTACATTTAAGTTTTATGATGGATATTCTGTTTGAAAAAAAAAGTTTTTAAAAGGTCAGACATCAGCCTACACAAAAGGACTCAATACCTCTGTGAGGCCTTGTTGTTTATCCTTCCTTTGTTTCCCCAGATAGCAGTTCACACAGAGCACTGACAAATCATGTATTCACTCTTTCTCTTCCCACATTCTTTGCTTTGTCATGTGCACTGCAGTATGTGGAACTGTATTGAAAATGGACAGTAAAGACAGTAATAAATCTTTGACAATAAAGTTTTGAATCCTTCATGCGTATTGTAGCTGCACTGAAAATCAGCATGTAATAATAAAGCTTTGTAATTCTCATAGCTCAACATCATTAGAATTTTTCTCTTTTGTTTGATCTGTAATGCAGCTTCTGCTTTTAATTGAGATGAAATTTAAGTTTTAAGTGAAATTGAATTTTAAATTTGATGTGATACTCTAAAACCTCTCACACATCTAAATAACTCCATCCTTTACCTTTGTTCTTCAGCCTTCAGTTCAGCAATTCATTCACTGGATGGGGCCACCCTGCGCAGCGATTTTGTGTCCATTTTAAAAGAGTTTGGCAACCATTTTATCCAGGAGGCAGTGTTTGGCTTTGAGGAATCCTGTACCATATGGTATCCCAACAAGCAAGTCCAACGCCAGCTGTGGTTGGAGTATCAAGACATCAGCAAAGGTAAGCTGTATAAATATATTAATTAAAAATATTTAATTAGCTGGTTAGGTCATAATATGTTGGATCTCATTCACTAAAAAGCACATAAAAGTTGCATACTATACACAGATATATGTTTGTTTGTTTGTTTGTTTTGTAAATAGTAAGACTTATTTTACAATTGCTTATTTAATTAATAATAATAATCTGACTTGTGCAAAGAATTGTGCTTGTTTATGCAATTATAATAATAGTAGTAGAAATAAAAAAATTAACCCTACAATATTTTGATTATTATTTGAGTTGTAAGTATTATCCTAAAAATATAACAGATGTGTTACCTTGTTGATAAATTGTGTTTTCTGTATGAAGACACATTGGTTTTGCCCATGGTTAGTAAATGAGGACCATTGTTTTTATTATTTAGGATGGACCGTTTTATTTTATTTTAAGAGAAGATAAACCTTTCAATTTTATGAGGAGATAAACAGAGCAAAACTATTTTACCTGTCCATAAATTATGCAAAAGTTTTGTAAACGTTGTAATATTTATACCTGGCTAAATAAATAATAATAAGGCAGCAATTTTAAAAATAAACCATTGTCTAGATATGCACATAGAAGTTTGACCCGTTGCACCCAAAGTTTGGTTTTGTCATAATATAAAGTCCATTTTGGAAAGGATGTGGACAGGAGCTGAGGAAGTAAAACTCAACACAGCCCTTGGGAGGTTGGTCACATCTGCTCAGCCAATAAAAGGGGGCAAGGGCAGATGTGAGATGGCTGGCTGGCTATAGCTGAATGCAGGCCAGCGTTGCTCCATACTCAGAAGGCCCCTGGGCAGGTTCACCTAGTTTTTATGCTTCAGCTCCACTCAGCTGAGCCCATATATATGTACAAGGTCAGTTAGGACGGAACTCATTTGGAAAGACAACAAAAGTGTGATGCTAACAGATAAAGAACCACCAGAGATGGGCTAGACAGTCTATAGATTGATTCAGCCAAGGATGATTTGGGTTTCTATGCTTATGGGTAGTCTATCAACAATGCGCCCTTGAGCATTCATGAAATAGCAGTGCTGTGAACATGAAAAAGTGCATTGTGATCCACACAGGCTTTTCTTCGAGAAATAGGCACCAAGGTCATCTGACAAGGCATATAGGTCTTAGACTGTACTCTTCTATTTTAAATGAAAACGTCTCATGTTACGCATGTAACATTGGTTCCCTGAGAATAGGGAACGAGACTCTGTGTCCTCTAGAGGGCGCTATGAGGAATGCCTCTGGCATAACCGGTGTCTGAAGCATGAGTTTAAACACGACAATGAACTTGACATTGGCAGGCGGCAGCCTATGACATCACAACTGGTTGGGCCAAGAGTATAAAAGGGCACATGTGCAATACATCATCCACTTCTTGTCTGAAGGAGACGTATGCAGAAATGCCTGAAGCATGGCAAAGGGATGCAGCTTCTCATTCCCTATTCTCAGGGAACCATGGTTACATGCCTAACCTGAGACGTTCCATTTCGAAAGGGAACTTGCGCTGCATCCCCTAGAGGGCGCTATGGGGAACTTTATACCCACATCGCTATGCTGAAGGGATGAGTGCCTTATTGGCTGAGCTAAGTCAAAGACTCGAAAGGGTTATTACCCCTGCACCAGAAATGCGATCATAGACTGGAGCTTCTCAAGAACGGAGGCCTCAGCAGGGGAGAGGAAGCCTAACTACGTTCTTATTCAGGGCAGCGTCCAAGGAGGCTCACAGAGAGCCTAACACTCAGAGCTAACTGGCCCGCGAAGCTCTGCAGAATGGAGGGCTAAATACGATTAGAGGTCTGCATTCCCGACCAGATTTTTTTACCGAATAAAATGCGGTAGCATTCTGTAACTCAGTGTAATTTGAATGGGAGCAGGCGGTCTAACAGTATCCCGTTCCCGACATCAATTCAGAACAGCATATCTGTGCTTTATTCTTATTGACCACTGGTACAGCCTACACTCTGACTGTTAGCACTGGCTACACGCATGCTTTCAGCGTCACACGTTTTATTTGCGGGGTCTGTGTGCAGCATGTGCGTAATGATGCTCAGAGCAGACTGTACCGGTAGTAAAAATACAGCCCTCAGACAGAACAGGCAGGTTGTCGATGAGTGACAGATCAGAATAAGAATGGAGCAAAGTGTGGATGCGCTGTCCTTGAAGGACGTTCAATTCTGTTTTGTTTATATTTTGCTTTTCCTGCTATGTTAACAGAAAAATGTCAAATGAATTGAGTATTTTGATAAGACGAATAAAAATAGCTAATAGGCTATTACATGTTTTTTTTTCTCTCTGTGACACTTTTTCCTGTTCTGTTGTAAATGTTAATGGGGTCATATGATGCTGCTAAAAAGAACATTATTTTGTGTAATTGGTGTAATGAAATGTGTTTATGCGGTTTAAAGTAAAAAAAAAAACACATTATTTTCCACATACTGCTCATTATTATTTCTCCTCTATGCCCCGCCTTTTTGAAAGGCGTCGATTCTTACAAAGCTCATCGGTCTGAAAAGCAAGGTGTGCTGTGATTGGCCAGCTATCCTGTGCGTTGTGATTGGCCGAATACCTCAAGCGTGTGTCGGAAATGTTACGCCCCTCACCATATTGTGATGATGCCCTGTCCAGCCGGAGCGACGAGACAAAAACATTAAAACCCATTACAAACGAGGCATTTGTTGTATCCAGTGGGGACATAATTACTGATTATAATGACTTATACTGTCTTTTTACGCATTGCATTGCATCGCGCCGCGTAAACATAAAACCCTGTCTGCATTTGTGATCGGAGGAATGACAAACAACAAATGCTACTCTACACTGCCCAAAACTCGCGTTTGAATCATCAGTGGCAAATCCTTTAAATGAAAACGTACTTACAGAATGTGAGTCAGAACTCCCGGCATTGTAGGCAACTCTCCCAGGATCAGTAACCACTGATTTGTAGTCGTGTCCTCTTTTGGAAGACCAAACAAAGTAGTTTAGCTTTCACAACGAAAAACACAGCGGCCTAGCATGAGCGAAAACCGCGGCTTAGCGTGAGCTGAGGCCGGGCTAGAGTGAGCAAAGGCGGCGGGGTCGAGAACGGCGCACCCGGCGGATTTGACGAAGGAGCGGCAACCACATGTGACGACTCCGGCCTTCGTCCACGGTGAAAGCCGATTCGGCGATCCACAGCACTAAATTGATGTATTCCCTCAGCGACCAGCACAGATCAGCTCTAGGCATGACGAAGCGGATATCGTCCTCTTTTGGAAGACCAAACAAAGTAGTTTCGTTTTCACAATGAAGCACACAGTGTCTCCACGGCATGGCGGCAGCAATACTACAGTGAGAATAAAAGTTACGCCTTCTTTCTTTGCGTGAACATTTGGGCGGCATTATGCAAATCTTCCCACATAGTGAGGTAGATATGTGGGGGCATGTTAGAACGAGCCGTTTTAGGTAGGCGTGGTTAACTCT